ATAGAAGTACACTCTTAGTCAAAAACAACTCCTCAGACCATACGCTTCGAGAATCAATACGGGTCAAACCTCCCGAACAAGTTTAAACATGTTTTAGGCCGTCCTTTTGCTTTGGAAAAGCGATCCAGCGGACTGAAAATTCCCAAATCCATTTAATGCATGGCATCAACATAAAATCTGTCCACAATAATGAAACGAGACAAGTTAATTAGAGGTCTAAGTGACATCACTCCACGTCTTTTCTTTTATGCTCGTTATCTGGAATATCCTCTCCGTCACTGTGGTCCTCTTCGGAGTCTGGTCGTGCTAGGGCAATCTGTAAGTTCTTCAAACCTTCGTGAGTTCTGTAGCGTGGAGCGTCCCCTCTGAGAGGGAATCTGACATCTCCTAAAATATACTTTCCACAAACCTCACACAAATTACACGAATAATAACGGGAGTGTGATTTGATTCCCTGGACTGCTCCACGAGCACCAGAATCAACACACCACAACAATATGCAAGCAATTGTTAAGGCTGGTGTTGGTGTCTGGGTGTCAAATTAAATCCTTGGCTCAGGGTGATCATACATTTCACAATAGGCACCAAATACAATTCAATCTTTGCTTCTCTGGAACAAAACCAGAGGCCACCTAGTAATAAATTCTTCATCCGGAGTTCAGGAGGCAACTCGTTGGTAGAATATTGAACTGGTGAAATTGACGAGTTGGATGCTTCAGCCACGGGACTGCCATCAACGTTTGCAGTGAATGATATAATACGCCCTGGCACATGAGCAAGAGACGCATACACTCCCGTACATACATACTTCCGTCCTAAATATTAGAGAGGGAACCTTCACGAGACTGAGCGACAAGTTCAGCAGGTGTGGATAGTGCCTGAAACACATTCGGATTATCCGGCAGATGTTTCAGCTGAAAAGGGATACCACGAAAAAAGAATGCTGTACGCAAGTTGGAAATTGGATTTACTTCATTACATTCAGCACATACATATTCCTTTATTTTATTTTTCTGAAGACTGCCAAAAGACTCTAAACACCATTTGCCGCTATTTTCAGTGGAAATAATGGCTTGCATTCTGGTACACGTGGGGAGTTTGTCTAATATATAACTCGTCGAAGGTAACACGCGAGCAGCTAAAATGGTATTTATGAGAGCTATGGCATGATTAAGTGCGGCATTTGAGGAGTTATCGCGTTTGGCTAACCCTAGTTACATACAGCAAATCAGTACGAGCACCATTTACAGGGATACCCTTCATTGTCATTTCCTAACACATTTGGATGCTATTGTCGATCGGATATTAGCCATATCTTGCGGATGCTGATTGACGATTGTATTACCCATCGGATTAGCCACATCTTGTGGAAGTTCATTGACGATCGGATTAGCCATATCCTGTAAATTTTGGTGGTCGGTCGGCCTTATCCCGTGGATGCAGATTGTCGATCGGATTAGCCTCATCTTTTGGAAGTTGATTGACAATCGGATTAGCCATGTCCTGTAGATTTTGGTCGTCGTTGGGATAACCCATATCCTGCGGATCCTGTTTGTCGATCGGATAAGATATATCCCTCGGATACTGATTGCCATTATCCTGCGTGAAAAAGTAGAGTAAGAACCGAAATCGATGTTAGTTGTGTGTGATGTACTATCAGAAAACTTTCCGGGGTCGACTGCCAATAACGTTGTGTCGAACTAGCCTCAGACAGAGCGCCTCTCTGCGCGCCCTGTTAGTGGGTCGCAGCCAAGGTGGCGACCCCGTCTGCCTTGGGTTTTCAGCATTTAATTTTAATAACAACCCTTTGCGTTTGTAGGGGCGGCGTCTAAAAATAAGCCAAACATAACCGGTGCAAGTCTGTGAAAACGATTTGCAACTTCAGATACCTTCCCGAAATTGAGATGGAAACGAGAAGGGGTCAGTCGACTAGCTAGTAGCTTTGCGCGCCATCATCTGAATTTCTTATTCACCGCCACGACCAACTTGAACCGACATCGAAGCAACTCCCATTTTCAGTGTTTTTCGTGGCAAATTAGCCACAGTCGACAACCCTTAGTCCCAAACACATCCCGGGTACGACCTAGTTGGGACGCGGGATGTCTCAGCTGGGAGGTCCCCCAGTACTACCGAATGCGACTCCAGTCTGGACCTGTGCAAGTGATAGGGACATCCCACCAGGACGTCCCATCGAGACACTGGTCGCTTCTGATAACCACCTTTAAGGAATGTTCCCAGCCACTCCTCCTAGTGGAGAGTAATATTTGTCCTTTTTTAAAGTATATTTATAAACTTAAAAAAAAAATTCTTATTTTGAGTGTTTTTTCCTGGTCTAGCTCGTGCACATGTTACAGTTATATTCAAGTTATTAACAATTAAATGATGTAATGAAATACCTTACTTTACCGGGAGTTGAACCTGCGACCTCAGTGTTACTGGCCGACCGCGTGGATCACTTTTTTTTTCAACACATTTATTTAACAATTTGTACAGGACGGCTCTGCCAATAAAATTTGTAGTTTTGGTAACAATGAATAACAATAAACTTTAAACTGGCCTACGAAGACGAGATGGGAGGATGGCTTGAGGAACAGGACGTCATGCCACGGGATGAAATTGAAATAATTTTTATTTAAGACTACAAACAAAGGGGCTAAAAAGCCCCACTACAGTAAACAGTCTGCTCTCTCACTTACAGATTTGTTAAATAATGTTATAAAATATATAGCAATGCAAAAAATGGTAGAAGTACAGAGTTGTATAAGCATAATAATTAATAAATAGCTAGTCTAAACCGTGCAAGAGATAGTGTCATGTCATAGTAAATCCAAATCAACAAACATGGCTCCCACTCCCACAGGCTGTTGACTTTAACTCTTTAACTGAAAGACAAACGTTTCATTTTGCGATTCGGGATAGTTTCAGATATTGCATTACAAAGAATTTATTAAAATACTAAATAAAAAAAAAATACTCAATTTATTAAAATACATACATAGTATAATGGGAGTAAAAAGCCCAAAAGTAGTGGAAGTGGAGTGTTAAGTGTGGACCTCTGGGTCCCCTAACCTGTCTCGGACCAAAGCAGAAGGGTTGTTTTGGCACAGAAGAGGACCACAGCCATTATCTACCTTGTTCGTAAAAATTATTTGCTTATTGAAATAACATATTTCTTTGTAGTCAGTACAGTACAGAAGCTAATGTTTATAAGGCGGCCGGAATACTCATTACACCACTCTTTTTTAGCTACAACATGAGTTTTACAACGTAGCAATGGATCATGAGTGGGCGTATCTTTATTTTAGTTGTTGTCTGTCATGAGTAGTCACATTTCATATTCACATTGAAAATAAAATAACTTTGAAATTTAAGTAAGATTAGAATTTTATTTATGGTTAAAAGAATTGACAGACAAAATAGATTTCTTTTATCAACCATACGCAGTGCATGTAAATTGGGTCATGGTCAATAGGAATGCAAAAGCTACTGCTATTATGCTGCTACGTTGTACATACACTGCTCATCAAAACACATCTTAGCTTCTTAGCTCAGGAAACATAGAAACTATGTCCGTTCGAAAAATCCGCCCGCTAATTTTGATGAGCAGTGTACGAGTGTAGTTGCCATGGTGCACACATTACCAAGGGTACGTTTTCCTGTGATACTGTCAGATTTCAATGACTCTTTAAATACAGTAGTTACCCTACTCATATAGATAAGGTTTAGCACTACTAGCTTGAACTGCCCGCGAGTTTGAAGGCAAATTTGAAGGCAAATCTGAAGGTCATTTTAAGCGAATACAATTTAAAATTCCCAAAATTTATTGCTTGGTTACCATCTTTACATGAGAATATTTCCGGAGCCATTTGAGCAGCAGCGCCTACATTATGTAGGAAATCGTAAATCGACCCGTTCTTTCCTATGTGAAACTTTGAACGAAATCTATAGGGGTCAGTAAAATGGGTCCAGCTTCGTACTCGCAGGGACCCCTCTCTGCGGCCTCTTTCGATTTTTTTTTAAAGCCGATTTATGATATTCTGCAAAAACGTGGGTGCTGTAGTTCAAACGGTTCCGGAGATGTTTGCGCGTTAAACTATCATTATAAATTTGGCAAATTTTCAATAAAATTTGTAATCTGACTCTTTAACCTGTAAACCTTTTGTGAGTGTGTAGTATGGTAAGTACACTCTTCCGTGTGTGTAGTATTGCAAGTGTTCTTCTATGTGATTGCAAGTCGACTCTTCCTTGTGTGTACTTAGTACTAAGTACACTGTTGGGTTCCAGTGTATTATTTATATAAGTGAGTGAGTGGGAGTCTCGGATTATTAACGGTATGTAAATTGCAGTCTAGTTCAGCTATGTTCTTTCCGCAGGGCAAGCAGTAGACGGTGATCTGCTCATGGCGGAGCTCACGGTGCGTGACGCCGATGCCTGCAGGGAGGCTGTTGCGGCCGAAGGACTTCCCGGCGGATTGCACGATACCCAGCTGTGCACTGGCGGAGTCTGCTCAAACACCACTCACCCGGTGAGCTTGGGCGCGGAACAGCAAGCTCGCATTATCTCTTATTACTAATTTACAGTCTTTATGCGAACAGTTTCCTCACCTTACAGGGAACTCATTTAAGTGTTAGTCCCTGATTTTGTTCCCTTGGGGGTTTTGTAGAGTGACCGTATAAAAAACGATTGGCAATGAAAATTCGTGCCCAGTGTCATATTCGTATCTATAGGGGAAATCCATTTTCTGAAAACATTTCTGAAAAATCCAAAACTTCTATTTGGCTTTCAATAGACATTTTAAAACTGAATTCAAGCTGTGGGTCATTTTTAGATTTTTCAGAAGAAAAGACTTTTTTTAGTCAATTCTGGAGAAAATGGATTTCACCTATCGCCTATGGATACGAATATGAAATTGAGCACGAATTTTAATTGCTAATCGTTTTGTATACGGTCACCCTACAAAACCCCTAAGGTGGAGCAAAATCGGGAACTAACACTTGAGTTCCCTTCGAGGGGGCCCAACTCCATAAATATGTGTACCTCGGATTACCAAATTGCAATGATTACCAAAGATTACCAAAGATTACCTTATGTATACTACACTGATATATAAAGTGTGCAACTGACACACACCTTAAATTGTTTAACACCGTGTGGCATACTTCTATGTGTGCAACACGAGTTTTGAATAGTTTGAAGTGTTTCACAAGTGTGTTGCACACTTTTTAGAGCGTCGAGCACTATAGCTCAACGCTCAAGTTGAACACGGGACCTCCAGGTGACCATCGAGACAACATCTCCGCATTCAAGCGAATGCGACAGTAGTCTGGTGGGACCTGGGCGACCGTCGAGTGATCCACGCACAGGCGGTAACTAGGCTCCCGGGCGGCGAGTGCGAGGCGGGTCTCGCGCGATGGTTCAGTGTTACTAGGGAACGCTCGTTGTGGGTGGCCAACGGCTTGCGCACTTCCTGAGCCTCGAGATGAATGATTCGGACGCCTGCATGCCAAATCTTAGTTTCTTAGCTCAAAAAACATAGAAACTACGTCCGTTCGAAAAATCCGCCCACTAATTTTGATTAGCAGTGTTTAAGGTTCTTCCCAAGGAAAACGTGCTTCTCACACTTACGAAGACCTCATCGGTACCTCTTTTTGACTTACAAGGTTACGATTCTTGCACGCCTGACGTCTGACCTCCCTGGTGACCTTACAAGTGCAAAAATCTTGACTTCAGAGTTCACATTGAGGGCTACGTGAGGGAAACGTTTCCCTTGAGTTGTGTCTGTCTGGCCTCATCAACAAAAATGTTTTCCAGGGTGAACCCGGTGCGCCGCTGCAATTCCTTGACCGTGTCTTGCAAACGACGCAGGATGTTTTTCTGCAAGTACATCGTCTGGTCGGGGTTGCTAGTCTGACTCCACCTTGCGGCCGCTGCCTACCCGACATCCACTCCAGGGTGTCAGCCTTCGTCCCTTGGATCGAAAGTGTGGTCTGGCCGGAAGACGAGTCACCTTGAACGGACTTAGTAGTTACATTGATCTCTACATCTTCATATTTGTCAATATTTACCTAAAATTGTGAGGGGATGGGTGGGCTGTCACGCACTCAGCAGCTGTTGCACAACAGGTGTCAATAACCAGGGTTGGGAACGTTACTTTGAAAACTAACGGCGTTAGTGCGTTATCGTTATCGTTACCTAACGATAACGAACGATAGCGCGTTACATTTTCGGGTGTCGGTAACGGGTAACGTAACGCGTTACTAAACCTCAGTAACGATAAACGCCGTTACCGTTATTTTAAATCAAGATTTTCTCGATTTAGAGGGTACAAATAAGTCTTATTTCCCGGCAAGCCATGCAACGGAGCCGTTTTGAGTCGAATTTTACCGTCCGTACCTCATCAAGAAAAAATTCTGCACTCTGTTAGTAAGGACTTTTACTTGCCTTCTTCATAATATTCTACTTTCTAGCTTATTTTATACCTTCCGATGTGACTTTCGGTAACGATAACGCCGTTACAAAGTAACGGTAACGATAGCGCGTTATAATTTAGAGAGCCAGTAACGGTAACGATAACGCGCTACTTTGGGTCGAAATAACGATAACGATAGCGCGTTACTATTTGATAGTAACGTTCCCAACCCTGTCAATAACACAAGCAAAGCAGTGGCACATCGCCATTGGCAGGTCAGTGAGACTCCATCATTATTATTGTTAATGTAGAAGGTATGTAAAACTCCCCGAAGGCATATGGCAAATTTTCACTGCTGTGTTAGTAGCTCCTAGCCACTTAACTTCTCATTTGGTTTGGCATTGGGTTTGTTTAGACACTAGACATACATTTTGC